CACACAATCGCGCGCGCACGCACGCACGCACGCACGCACACACACACAAACATATATATATATAAATATATATATATATATATATATACATATATAAATTCTATTAATACTAGTAAATCTTACCTGCCCGTGCTCCTGTTTTACTAAATCTTATGGCTGGTTTATCGAAGCCATAATTATAGGTGTAACAGTTCCCATATCTTCCGGAAAGAGTCAGAATGAAATCTCTGAAATCACATAATAAACTGTCACGATATTTGCAATCTGGCCAATAATGATCTGATCAATTGAACAACGGCCAGACGTACCACCAATCTATGATAAATGTAGCCTGTAGGTGATATAAATTCTCAACTGATTATACTGTATGTAATAGTATAATTTGCGCATTTCAATAGGTCGCTTAAATAACATACTTAAACAAGCACATTACTTGATTGACCACCATATTCAATGTATCCGAAGCGATGTATGAGAATAACGGGCACAGATCAAAAGAAATAACTCCACTGACAGTAGATAGACACATCGAACGCAATAATAACCAGCTCCGCTGTTAGATTAGCTTAAAGATAGTGGATGACAACCTCGCGCTAATACTGACAACCGGATACAAAGCGCTCGTTTAACGTACATTCCGCTTTTATTCAGAAACGAGTATTGCTTAATTTTTAATGTAACATTTCCTACTTCTTCAAGTCGCATTTTCGTCCATTGAACGCGCATTCAATGGTGAAGTCGCCGATCGCTGTGCCCGCAATAGTCTTCTCCCTTAGTGTGGGCAATTGCTCGTTCACGAGCGAGATATACTCCGACGAATCCTTAACCTCATCGAGAAAGTCCGAATTCTATTGATTTAACAAAAATTAAATAGTATTAAATTATCCTTCCCTCGTTACACGGTGAAATGGACACTGATTATTTCGTTTTGATAAGTCAAATAATTAAAAAAAGGGAATGAAAGTGAAATATTTAACCGCGCACAACCTAGTACACAAACAAGAAACTTAATTCAGTTGGATTGCTTATATATATATACGTGTGTGTTCGCGTGGTGCGTGCGTGCGTGCGGGTGCGACCCATGCTTCTGATTGAGCCCATTAACGTTACTCTGCATATAATTCTGCAGTTTCATGTTGTATCTAGATCTAGCACGTGATAAAAATGAATAAAAAATAAACAATTATAATCTCTCGATCTAGAGATACCACTTTTTGATGTGATTACACTTCGCCACAGTAAGTATATAAAGTATAACATACTTCTTCAAATAGGGGTTCTCCGTCGTCGTCATAATAGGTGTAGTCGTAATTGCTCCAGTCATAATCGTTTTCATCTGGCAAGTAATGTATCACTTCGTCGAGAACAGCTTGCGAGTATGGATTCTTGTTGCAGATCGTCACCGCTGGAAACTCGATGTATTTAACATACTCCACATCTATAAGTGTATTTCGTGGATATCTAAGATACTGCTCGAGTATTCTGTACGTTTGGAAAATCGAGTAGCTTAATCCAACGACGAAGACGAATCCCCAGAACACGCGCTGTCGGATCGATACTGAATTAAACGCGCGCGCGACTCCGTGAGCCGAAGTATTGCTGGCAAAGTTGTGAATGTGCGAGACCAGCACCATGGTGGCTTATCGCCTCGTCCGTACTTGTCTTTGCACCGAGCGCTAGTTTGCTCTGTTATCTAGTTAACTCTGCACCAGCCGTCTTCCCTCACTCCCCGTACTCTTGTTTTTAGCGACGTCTATTTTTACTCGTCTCTCAGTTATTGTCGCCAATTGCTATTACTCGTATCTGCGTGACTTGCGTTTCAACTTTTATTCACATCCGTGTTACTTCCATTTACGCGACTTTTTAACTGAACTAGAGTATTTGCGAGTATTAACTTATATAGTGAAGGTCTCTCGCACTTCTCATCTTGCATGTCCGATCGATTCTGTTGTTCGCTGTGTGCTACAATCCGTTGATGAACTCACAAGCGGTGTCGTAATACAGGCGTTCGGTGGCACTACTGATAGATAGACCCCACGATAGCAACTAAAATGGAAATATTATGATACCATCATTAGCGCGGGGGGATGATGATGCGTCCGTAATCCACATTAATAATGTATTATGACGGTTACCACCGTGCATGCATTGATGTGGCCTCTGTCGGCCACAACCGCGGTTGTGATGGCAGCGGTTGCTTAGTAGCATCTAATATATAACGATGATATTGAACGAGCTAACATAATGTCGCCTACAAACCCTTTTCGAGATAATGCAGAACGGGATGGGTTTAGCTCTAATAGTCATGTATCTATGTTTATATTGACATGCGCATGCAGACGCAACTACAGTCACGTATGGTTACGTATTGTAGGCCCTACTTCAATGTACGAGAGACAAAGAGGCGTCCAAACGAAAAGAATCCAACACATACGCACTCACGCACGCGCGCATACAGCCACGCACATAATTAAATTCTAGTCGGTGTAAAATCATTGACCTCAGGCATGGCTGGACAACTATTGATCACAAGTAGCAGAGAGACACGTATGCTCGTATACATGACGAGATACGTAAAGGTTAACGCTATAATTTGTGTGTGATTATTCCCTTATTAAGTGTCAGTGTAATGCGTGGAGCACATTGTTATATCACTATTTAGCATAACGAGTATTTAGTCATATGGAGAATGAAAATAATAAAAGAAAATAAAAATAAAGAAATGGCAAATTTATTAAATACTTTTAAAGTTTCATTAGCGATTTCAGCACAGAATACGACATATATCAATATATAATTTTACTTTCAGCGTAATTAAACATTCACGGTCTTGTTTCATGTATATTTTATCAAGCAAATAAAACTTAAAATCATAACGCTATTCCAGGGATTTGCAAATTATTACGCAATCAGTCATTAAATTAGTATGCCGCATGAGATTATACGTGAACAACACGCACACACACACACACACACACACACACACACACACACACACACACACACACACACACACACACACACACACACACACACACGACACACACACACACACACACACACGCACACGCACACGCACACGCACACGCACACACACACATACACGCACGCACGCACGCACGTACACACGCACGCACGCACGTACACACGCACGCACGCACGCGCACCCACACGCACGCACACGCACACGCACACACACACACATACACGCACGCACGCACCCACGCACGCACGCACACACGCACGCACGCACGTACACACGCACGCACGCACGCGCACCCACGCGCACGCAAGCACGCACGCACGCACACACATACACACACACACACACACACACTAAATCACATAAAATTTTACTCGATGTGATATTGATTGATTTTTGTTGTATTCTATGATCGACGTATTTTTGCTTATCCGTCACTGGAACTCGCGATGAATGTGCCACCTATCGGCCAATGCGGCGTAATGTAGCTGTATTTTTACCTGCCTAGCAACAATAGTGTTTTATCAGCGAAAGCGGGATGAGTGAAATCCGTATAAGCAGCCTAGCAGGGGCATCACAGGCACATGCACTTGGGACAAAGTCAGTAAAAACTGAAAACAATATGAACGCACATTCACAAATACTACTATTACACTTCCACTGCTGTGTCACACTATACGTCACACGTATATCAACTTGCTTTCACAAAAGCCAATGCAGAACTAGCCGCTCTCGCACTCGCCGCTTCGAGTGTGCTGTGTCGCCATTGTGGTGATATATATAGAAGATATACAATATATATAGAATGATATATATATAATGATATATATATATATTCTATATATATCATTATATTGGCGACACAGCACCGGCACAGCACACTCGCAGCGGCGACACAGCACGCACAGCGGCGAGTGCGGGAGCGGCTAGTTCTGCATTAGCTTTTGTGAAAGCAAGTTGATATACAGTGACACAACAGTGGAAGTATAATTGAGGGGTAGTAATAGTAGTGTTTGTGATTGTGCGTTTATATTATTTTAAGTTTTTACTGACTCTGTTCCAAGTGCCTGTGATCACAAGAGGTTGCGAGGGGTGCGGAACGCACAGGGTGACCCCATCAGAGGGGGTGACGCCAAAATGACTGTCTATACAAAGTTTATGCAGGCAAACCTAGTCCATTAATGTATCTCATATAACTGTAAAGATTAATGTTAAAATAAACATAGTTTTGATGTAGTTCTTAAACGTTTTTACTTCGAATTCTATTGTTTTCTTACCGAATTTTCATTTGAACCACATGAAACTATGTAAATATAAATACATTACGGCGGTGCGTATGATATTGCAATTTTAATGTTAGTAGTTGTTTATGTCACTACTATTGCCAGTACATTCAGTGATATACGGGTACGAGTAACATTAGTACAAAAAACATTACTAATGATTCTGTATGGTCTGGTACGGGAGGAGGTCCATGGAGGTGACACCATGAGTTACCGCACCGCGTCACACCCGTGACCAACCCTAGTGACGCCGCTGGGTATCAAGTAACGATCGCTTACTAACCGCTTAATCACTATAGTGCAATGTGATCAGCCATGTACCGCAGGTATTAACAGGCAGAGGTGTTAGACGAACTCGAGCTTACAAAATACACTACTGCCGCCCATAGGATATCGCCTATATTGGATGTCGGTATATCAATATCATGTGAAATCAAATAAGCGTCTAAGAGCATCAGGTTTATGTTTCAGTGATCAAAATTCTGGCTATAAATGAAGTCGGAAGAGTGTGTGTAAATTCATAATATTCAAGCTTGGCTGGACATAGTCTACCTATACGTAATTACGCGCCATGTCTATAGCCTCCAGCCACCCAGCCGCGTACGGTCTTACAACCCTTGCAACCTTGCAACCTTGCAACGTAGTGGCGAGCGCGTTCACAAGGCTTGATGCTTGCCGTTGTATACTACAGACAAGTAGGCTTGCGCGCATGTGGTTGGCCATCGTTGTGAGAAATAACAATTTTTCCGTGATTAAACCGTGGAAAATCATTTTCACCTAGATAAATTAAGTACGACAGCCGGTGATTTAGTGATAAAAATTCAACAGTGGATAAATTATACGTAACGAGGCTCCTGTCACTGGACTAAACTAGACCTTCTATATTAGCGCTCTTGATCTGGACTTGTTCGTTATGACTTCCCAGTCCAATAAACGAGTGTGATAGTGTGTGAGCACCATCGTCCTATGTTGTAATTGGACCTATACTCAGGACATCAGAGTATCCATAATCGTAAAGCGGCGTGGTAATGTTGCTCCGCTTTCCTTGCTTGACAGTTCCCCGTTTCTGTGCTACAATGGGGCGAGCGCAATCCGACCACAGTGGATGGGCGATAGAAATAGAAACATACTACGTATAGGTATATATCTATTTCTATGGGACGGACTATGGTACAGGGGTCAATACATTCAGGATATCGACAACATATCAAAATTATAAAAAAAAAGATCACTGTAAATAAACTGTGTTCTACAATATTGGCGCAGAAACCCTCAGTATGGACAGCATGTGCGAAAATACACGAAAGAATGCGCATCAAATTTATATAAAATGTAAGCTTGCTTTGTGCGTAGCACAAACATTTTTGCTAGCTCTATATTCACCCATGCATGTATACATATCTCGTCATTGTCAGCTTAGCGCGAAGACTTCAGCAAATTATTTTAACACGTCACATTTGCTAATTGAAGATGATTAATTATAACCCGCAGGAGCCGTAGTGGCCTCCCAAAAAGTGCCACTGCAGAAATATGTAGCCGATGCGGGGAGTCTGGGTGTACTCCCCCAGAAAAATTTCGAAATGTAGAGCCTGGAAATGGCATTTCCTGCATTTTCAGGCTATGTTGAAAGCAATCAATTCTGATTATTTTAAAAGGTCAATTTGTAAATTTCAAAGAGGAATGTAGCTAAAGCTGATGTTTTGACTAAAGTATCTAAA